CGGCCTCCAAGAGGCCCCCAAAAAGGCCTCCAAGAGGCCCCACTGAGCCCTCCAGATGCCCCCAGGAGCCGCCCAAGGGGCCCGCGAGGGGCACCCCAAGGGGCGCGAGACCCAGACGCATCCGAGGCACCCCTGGCCCACAGACCAGGCACGGTGGCGGGCTGGCCCGAAGGCCTCCGGACATCCAGCACGACCCTCGCACGCTCCCACTGCCCCCAGGAGGTCGGCGGCGTGGCGCGAGCCACAGGACAGGAAGCATGCGACAAGGAGAGTCCGAATCCAGCGAGAGCCCCCCCCCTGTTGGAAAACCCATGCGCGCGGAGATCCCCACGTGCGTGTGTGCAGCTCCCTTCCTCGGCACTTCCCGCCGAGGAGTGCCCGCGCGGGAGGCCCTGAGCACGTGGCGGCTGGGCGCTCGCCGGAGGCCGCCCCGGCACGCCCGAAAGGATACGCCCGCAGCCCGGCAGTGGTCACGGGGCTCTGGAAAAGGAGGGGGTCGGGGGCGCCACGCGAGCGCCTCGCTCAAGACATCGCCACAGTCTGGGCGCGGACGTGCAGGTGGAACACACACACCCGGCGGCTCCCCTTTGGGCGCCCCAATGAAATATCTGTTACATCCCAGTGATCACAGAGCTCTCCAAGCAGAGACGTCGGCGACGCCAAACCAGCGCAGCCCCGGCGGCTCCCCTTTGGGCGCTCCAATGAAACATCTGTCACATCCCAGTGATCACAGAGCTCTCAGAGCAGAGACGTCGGCGACGCCAAACCAGCGCACCGATTACGACGTCCCCAAATCTGGGCGCGAACGGGCAAGTGCAACACCTCTTGGCGGCTCTCCTCCTTGGGGTGCCCCTCCTACATCGCGGTGACCATGGAGCTCTGAAAGCAAAAGGGTCGGCGGCACCAAAACACCTCGCTCAAGACGCAATCTGGCCGCGAAAAGGCAAGCGTAATACCCCCTGGGGCTTCCCTCTTGGGCACCCCAATGCTACGCCTGCTACACTCCCGCTGGCGACGGGGCTCCCAAACCTGAACATGCGGCGACGCCAAACGAGCGCCTCGTTCGAGACATCGCAACAAACTGGCCACGAACGAGCAAGTGTAGCACCCGCTGGTGGCTGCCCCTTGGGATGCCCAAAAGATATACCTGCTATATCGCGGTGAGTTCTGAGTGTAAGTTAGCTGAGTATGCGTGGATATGAGTGTTAGTGGTGAGCTCTGGGTGCGAGGGAGCCTGAATGTGAGCCTGGGCTTACGAGTCTGAATATTAGTGGGTCCGGGTATGAGCGAACTGAACGCAAGCGAATATGACGATGAGCTGAATGTGAATGAACATAAGTCTGACTGACTGATATTGAATGTGCGCGAGTTTGAATGTTAGTGATTCCGAGTGAGGAGAGGGAGGGAGGAGGAGCGGGAGCTGGAGTGGGAGGCGAAGGCGTTACACAAATCCGCCGACCCTTTCGACGTGTGTGAGACGCTTTCCCGTTTGAGTCGCCGTCATCATCATCGTCGTCGCCGGCGTCGGCGTCGTCGTCGTTGTCGCCAGCCGTGAAGTCGTAGTTCAATCGATTCCGTTCTCTTTCTGCCTTCCCTGACAGGGCGGAGGGGGGAGAAGGGAGGGGAGAACGGGGGGAACCCCGGTCAGAATACTGCCCGCCCCCAAGGGTCCCAGCGGGCCCAGGGGGGGGCGCCGGCGAAGGTCCTAGGAGAGGTCCCGCTGTCAGGGTCGGCGGCGCCGGCCGTCAGGCCTTCGCAATGGCCAGACCCTCCTCGTAGGATCTGGCGAAAAACCGTCCCCGCACATGTAAATGTTGCGCAGCTTTACATCACAGGCTCGAAACTATTCTTCCCTCACGCCACACCAAAACCCCAACAACACCCGAAACACAAACGAAGTTCTCTGCGCCCAACCCCGTCCGCATCAGCGGGCGCGCGGTTCAAACACCCCCCCTAGAAGTCTAAACGGGCTTCCCTGCGGGGGGGGGCCCTGGGGAACTCTCCTCCTTTAGGGGGAACTTGATTAATGAGAGTGGATGGAGCCTGGTTTGGGCGATTCAAAGCTGCCAAGTTTGGCCCCTGGCTTGGCCGGGTTTGGCCCTGGGTTGACCTGGTTT